GTCCTCTGCAGCTGGTCCCACATGACCAACGGCAGAGGACACTTGTGCTCGCCAGAGAGAGGTTAGAGATTAAAGAGGAAAAAGGCTTTCAAAGCAAATATATGTCGCCTTTTTTCTTAAAAGAATTATTTTATTTAACTTTATTTACTTATTTCTTTATTTTAATTTGACCAGAGAGGAATGGAATTAGAGAGAGGGAAAGCGAGAAAGCAAGCCACCAGGTTTGAGACTTGAACTGTGGTCAGCCCTGTGGGAGACCAGCACCCTTAACCACCATGCCACTTGCCGGCCCCTTTTGCCTTTTTTCTTTATATAGTAGTCAGTCACTGAGCTATTAAAAAACTTTCTTGGAGGCAGGACCAGCAGTTAGCGTAATGGCTATGTCGCTGGACTCCCATGTCGTCGACTCTGGCTCAAGTCCCAGACCCAGTGACTTAAACTCACGCCAGGTGCGTGTGCGTGCGTGTCCAAGATCCTGAGAGGAGAATGGAGAAGGGATTGCGGTGTGACCATCCCCCCTGGGGGGTGATTTCTCGCCTTCTGTTTCTCTGTCTCTCTCGGTCTTTCTGGCAAGCGCACACACCCTATAGCAAAAACCTCTCAAACAAACAAATAAAAAAAGATAAACAACCCACTAGGTTGTATTCCTAATGCAACAAAATAAAAGCAATTCTGATTGTTTTGTCATGTCTTAAACATAACAGCAAATGCTTTGTGTAACTGGCTTCAACCTCTGGTACTGCCATTTTCCGGCTGAGTGACTTGGTGCAAATCGTTTATCTCCCTACACCTCAGCTTCCCTGTCTGTAAAGCGGGAATGAAGACGAGTTTACACAGGGTCGTTGCGAGGAAGAAATGAGTTCCGTCTGGTGCCCGTGACGTGTTCAGTGCATGTTTGCTACAACCATGCCCGCCCCCTGCCCTGGGCCCTCTGGGCAGATGCTCCTCATACCCTCAGTAAGCGGACTTTGGCCTGCATCTTCCCTGGGTTCGACTTCTCCTTTCTCTGTGGTTCTTGTAGATGCTTTGGCTGACTTGTCACCAATGTGGTGGACTTGGAATGCGAGGCTGAGGACAGACAGGGAAGGACAGGGAGAGGGTAAGGGTACAGGCAGGCCTGAGACCCGGTCTCAGAGAATGCACTGAGGAGAGGGGGTCCGGGCCCCAGCCCCACCCACTCACAACCTTACACCAAGACACTGGACAGAGGATACACACATCCTCAGCTCAAGGCGCCATTCTGGACCTTGACATAAGGGTAGGACGACCCCAGGTGAAAGCTGTGACTATGGGCACAGGCAGGGTGGACAAGGATACCAACGGGAGACAGCCAGGCACCCTCCCCCCAAATCAGCCAGTCAGAGGAGAGCTGGAACTCCATGTTTGTGTCTGGCCAGTAGCTGACACACGAGATAACACCAGAGTCTGGCAGGCCTGAATCCCTGCTCTCCCACCAGCCTGGCTCAAGGGAAGATCACATAGGATGAGGTTAAGAACAAAAACCAGGACCAGCAGTTGGCTTAATGGCTATGTCCCTAGACTCCCACGTAGTCGACCGCGGTTTGAGTCCCGGACCCGATGCCTTAAAATTACACCGGTCACATGTGTGCGTGCCCAAGATCCCAAGAGGAGAATGGAGGAGAAGGGATTCCAGAGTGGCCATCCCCCAGGGGGATGATTTCTCGCTTTCTGTCTCTCTGTCTTTGTCTTTCTGATGAGCACACATGCCCTATAGCAAAAACCTCTCCAAAAAAAAGAACAAGAACCAATGAACCAGACAGCCAGGATTCCAACACATTCCATCATCATGCCTTTCTCACAGGGTTGTTGCAAACATTAAATAAGAAGTTACAATGGGACCAGCAGATAACATAATAGTTACATCACTGGACACCCACGTAGACAACCACGGTTCAAATCCCAGACCCAGAAACTTAAAACTCACACCAGGTACATGTGTGTTTGCATGCACGTGTGCCCAAGATCCCAAGAGGAGAATGGAGAAGGAATTACAGTGTGGCCATCCCCGGGCAGAGGGGTGATTTCTCACTTTCTGTCTTTCTGTGTCTCTCTGTCTCTCTGCCTCTCCAGTGAGCACACATGCCCTATAGCAAAAATCTCTCGAAAAATAAGTTACAGATCGGGGTCAGTAGGTGGCGTTGTGGTTAAGGCACAGGATTCCCACATGGCCCACCATTGTTAGAGTCCCCAACTTGGTGGCTTGATTCCTCACTTTCCCTCTCTGTCTCTGGTGAGCACACATGCCCTATCACAAATTTAAAAAATAATAAAAGTAAATAAATAATATTTTTTAAAAATTTTTAAAACAAGCAAACAATAATAAATCATTTTTTTTCTTTTTTTGGAGAGGTTTTTTTTGCTATAGTGCGCGTGCACTCACCAGACAGACAGAGAGAGACAGAGAGACAGAAAGCAAGAAATCACCTCCCAGGGGGGATGGCCACGCCACAATCCCTTCTCCTCCATTCTCCTCTTGGGATCTTGTGCACGCACGCACATGCTCCCGGCGTGAGTTTAAGCCATTGGGTCCGGACTCGAACCACGGTCGACTACGTGGGAGTCCAGCGACATAGCCATTACACTAACTCCTGGTCCCAATAACATATTTTTTTAGGAAATACTTAACTTTCTTTCTTTCTGTCTTTCTTTATTTCAATTTGACCAGAGAGAGACAGAGTGAGAGAGAGAGGGAAAGTGAGAAAGCATGCTGCCAGGTCCAGGACTTGAACCATGGTCAGCCATGTGGGAGTCCAGTAATCTTAAACACACCATGCAACCTGCTGGCCCCATAAATAATTTTTTTAAAAGGAGAATTGGGGAGCAGATGGTGTGGTGGTTAGGGCACTGGGCTCCCACAAAGCTGGTCACAGTTTGAGTCCCAGACCCCCTCTCTCTCTGGTCAAATGTTAATAATAATAAATAAAATTAAATAATTAATTGGTTTGTTTTAAAAAGAAGAGGGGCCAGCAGGTGGAGTAATGGTTACGTTGCTGGACTCCCATGTAGTTGACTGTGGTTCGAGTCCCAAACCCAGCAGCTTAAAACTCACACCAGGCACGTGTGTGTACCCAAGATCCAGAGAAGAGAATAGAGAAAGAATTGTGGTATGGCCATCCCCCCTGGGGGGGAGAGGGTGATTTCTTGCTCTCTGTCTTATCTCTCTGTGTCTCACCAGTAAACACACATGCCCTATAGCAAAAATCTCTCTCTAAAAAAAAAAAAAGAAGGAAGAAATTACAGCCCAGCAGGTGGTATGGAGGTTAAGGCACCTGGATTCCACAAAACCAATTCTGCAGTTCAAGTCCCAGTCCCAACAGCTTGAAAATCACAATGAGTGCATGTGTGCACGCATGTGCCCAAAGTGCCAATAGAAGAACGGAGAAGAGACTGGAGCATGGCCATTGTCGTCTCCCTCTGGGGGGTGGAGGGGGTGTCAGTTCTCATTTGCCCTCTCTCTCTGTCTCTTTCTGGTGAGTACATGTGCCCTATCACAAATTTAAAAAAAGAAAGAAAGAATAATAATAAATAAAATTAAATAAATAATGCTTTATAAAAAGAAGAAGTTACAGGACAGCAGGTGGTGTGGAGGTTAAGGCAGCTGGATCCCACATAGCCAACGCCACAGTTAAGTCCCAAACTCAGCACCTTAAAAATCACACTGGGTGTATGTGTGTGTACATGCCCAAAATGCTGAGAGAAGAATGGAAAAGGGATTACAACATGACCACCCCCCATGGGGGTTGATTTCTCAATTTCTCTTTCTTTCTCTCTCTCTCTGTCTCTGCCTCTCTCTAGTGAGTGCCCTATAGCAAAAATTAAAAACACAAATAAAAAATAAGAAGTTACTATACTGGGACAGCCCTGTGCACAGTAGCTAAGCATTGTGCATAGGAAGCCAGATCCCACATGGCCTAATACAGCTTGAATCCTGGCCCCTGTGTTCTCACATTCTGGGCTGGATATAGTCACTAGCTATCACTTATTTCTGATGGTCTGAGGATTGGGACCACAGCACCAAAGCACACGAGCTTTACAAATTCTTTATTTTTTTTTTTTTGAGAGGTTTTTTGCTATAGGGCGCGTGCGCTCACCAGACAGAGACATAGAGACAGAAAGCAAGAAATCACCCCTCGGGGGATGGTCACGCCACAATCCCTTCTCCTCCATTCTCCTCTCGGGATCTTGGGCACGCACGCACACGCGCCCGGCGTGAGTTCTAAGCCTCCGGGTCCGGGACGCAAACCACGATCGACTGCGTGGGAGTCCAGCAACAGAGCCATTACGCTAACTGCTGGTTCCCAAGAGCTTTACAAATTCTGACTGGCAGTCTTTAAGGTCCTCTAAAATCACAGCCTAGCTGGCTGTGGTTCTGCCAGCATTTGGAGGGTACTTGCTCCCTCGCAGCCTGTCTTGCACCGATATGAGACGGATCACCAGGAGCTGCAGCTCTAATCTCAGTCCCCACCTAAACCCCTGCTCCTGGTGCAGTCTACTGGGGAAAGATGTGAGATTTTTAATAGGTTGATATTCTTTTTTTTTTTAAGAATTATTAATCTACTTTTATTTATTCATTTGACCATAAAAAGACACACACACACAGAGAAGGAAAGTAAGAAAGCAAGCCACCAGGTCTGGGACTTGAACCATGGTCAGCCATGTGGGAGTGTCCAGCACCTTAACCATGCCACCTGCTGGCCCCCCTTTAAAAAGAAGAATTATTTTATTTAACTTTCTTTATTTATGTATTTATTTGTTTGTTTATTTTAATTTTCCCAGAGAGGGACAGAGCAAGAGAGAGACAGAGAGAGAGAAAGTGAGAAAAACAAGCCACCAGGTCCAGGACTCAAACCACGGTCAGCCATGTGGGAGTCCAGCACCCTTAACCATGATGCCACCTGCCAGTCCCTAGGTTGATATGCTTAATCCTGAGAAGTTTTAGTACTAAGTACTATGATGATGAAATAAACTAATTTTGTGTTAATCTTATATGTAGCTAGCTAGTATTTCATCATATTGTTTAAGAGATAGAATGATTAATAGACTAATCCTGTGATTCTAATTTTAAAGATGTAAATAAGATTTTTATTTAGATTATTTTAAGTTAAAGGTTAAGGTAAAGGTTTAAGACACTCTTATTAGATGTGAATAAATTACTAGAACTTTTAGGAGAGTATAAACTTGCCCAAATTTAGAAGTTTATTTATTACACATGCAAGAATTATTGAAATACCCAATGGCCGTTGTTAATCCAATAAGTGAACTATTTAACAATGAAAATGAATATATTACATTTTAAAATCTGACTTAAAAGGCTAGGGGAATTTAATTAACCAAGTTCCAAAATTCCCCATACAAGTATTTATAAAAAGTAGAAGATTCCTAAGTTGAACTTAATTGCTTAAGGAAGATTTGTAGCTTTAATAATAAGTATTTCTTTTCTTTAGTGGTAGTAACCCTATTTACCTTTTTATTTTAAATTGACCTTTTTTTTTTTTTTTTTTCTAGACCCTTCCAGATTCCATTTTATTAAGACACTCTTATTAGATGTGAATAAATTACTAGAACTTTTAGGAGAGTATAAACTTGCCCAAATTTAGAAGTTTATTTATTACACATGCAAGAATTATTGAAATACCCAATGGCCGTTGTTAATCCAATAAGTGAACTATTTAACAATGAAAATGAATATATTACATTTTAAAATCTGACTTAAAAGGCTAGGGGAATTTAATTAACCAAGTTCCAAAATTCCCCATACAAGTATTTATAAAAAGTAGAAGATTCCTAAGTTGAACTTAATTGCTTAAGGAAGATTTGTAGCTTTAATAATAAGTATTTCTTTTCTTTAGTGGTAGTAACCCTATTTACCTTTTTATTTTAAATTGACCTTTTTTTTTTTTTTTTTTCCAGACACATTCAGATTCACATGTAGTTTTTCTGGGTTTTTTTTCGGTAATGTCCCCATTTCACAAATGAGAAAACTTCGGTTCAGAGAGATGAATAACTTTCCCAAGTATGTAAACGGTAGAGCCAAGCTTTAAACCCAAGTCTGCCTGAGCCAAGATCTCAGAACTCCCCTGGAAAATGTGGCAATGATGTGGCAGAGATTATCCTCCAAGATCACCAAACCCTGTTTTCTTTTCCCCTGGACACATAGCTGGACTACATTTCCCATCTTCCCCTGTGGTTAAGGATAGGGGAAGATGGGATGTTCCCTTTCCCTGGAACATGAATGGGAATGATGGGTGTCACTTAATTCTGGGCCCCAAAAAACTGCCCACAAAATCATCTTGTGTTCTTGCCTTCTCTCTTCCTTTTCAGTCACTTGGTTGTAGAAATATCCAGCAGATAACTTCAAGGCCTTACATAATATCAAAGCCACAGGTCAAAGGAGCCTGGTTCCTTGAATTACCTCCTGGAACAGAGTACCTTCTACCCCCAGATCTACAAATGTACTTTGGCATAAATGAGAAATAAACTTCTATATTAATCCTTGAAATGCAGAGATTGTTTGTTTTATCAGTTAGCCTACTCTATGATGAAGAGGGCCAAGAGCAGCCATCTATCAGGTCTCCAACCCCCAGAACACCCCAGTACTTGCACCCACCTGGCTGGGCCTTCATCACAGTCTTCATTTTGCTTTTAGAGTGGCTGCCAGCTGGTCGCACTGGAGGCAAAGTAAATGTCTTGGTTTTCTGCTTGGACCGCTGCCATGGGACATAATTCTACCAAACATAATGCGATTGGTCACACAATATGGTAAGTTCAAATCCCACCTCCATCTTTTACAGATATCTGTGACTTCTAGCAAGTGATTTTACCTCTCTGAGCCTCAATTTTCTCAATTGTAAAGGAGATCTATTGATAAAACATTTCTCCATAGGTTGGTAAAAGAATTCCAAAGATGGTATTTGTAAAGTATTTGGTAACTATCCCATAAACATTAGCTATCACTTTTTTTAAAAAAAATCAGTCAGCCAGAACTTACTAAGCACATCCAGGCTGTGAGGCGCTAAGAAGTCTGAGAAACACAAAGCATGGAAAAGACCTGCTACCCACCCTCAGAAAATCAGAATAGCAATCAGCAAGGAATAAGAGAACAGCAATAATATACCCATCCCTACATTCTCATAAAGTAGCTAGAGGAGAAAAACGAGGTGCAGAGATTTGCTCCAGGTCCCACAGCAAATGTGTGATACATGCGGGATTGGAATTCAGGGCTCCACAGGAGTCAGAATAGTGCAAGTTCTAAGTGGATGGGCTACAAGGTCTGCTAGCCCCCAGCTCTGCTCTATCCCTCCCAACTCACCAGACTCTGCAACTTGTGGACTGCAGAGTAATTCTTAGAGTGGTTAGGTCTGGAAAGAGAGGAGGGCAGGGAAAAAAAAAATTCCATCATTCCCAGCCCATGGGGTTGCACGCAGCAAACTTCAAACAGTCTTGGAGTCTGTTACGGAACTCCAAATCCCAATTTACCAAGCACGTAGAGCAGAAGGCTAGGGGGAAAGGGGCGGGGCAGCAAGATGTTGGCAGGGATGGGCGTGGTCAGAAGACTCCGGATCACATCGGAGTGGGCGGGACGACGTTAAGGCGGGGAGAATCACGCATGCGCACTCCTCTATCCCGCCGACGCTCCTTTTTACCTACTTCTCAAAGACATGCGCCATTGGAGAAAATGAACGAGGAGTAGTGAGTCCGCGGAACCCTGGTCTTCTAGATGCCTGTTCGATCTCTCCAACTTCTTTGTCTCAGCGTGGATCGCGCGGTAACCAAGCCACTCAAACTTACAAGCGAGACCTGACGCTTTCTTGTCTGGTTCGGTTTCCAAGGAAACGGGACGCTGACTACCGAGCGCCTAGAGGGACTAATCTCGCAAGGCAAACGGTAGTGCGCCCCATTTTCTCTTTAACTTGGTTTCGAATACCTAGTTTCCCCTGCCCATAATTCTAAAGAATTGTTCATATATCATATTATTCCTCTTTCATCAAACCGCCACTGTTTCTTCACTCTTGGCTAATGACTTTTCTTCCCATTTCTCTAAGAAAATCGTGGGAGTAAGCTCACAAATTCACAACACCTCACTTATCCACCTTTTCCCCCTCATTCCCATAGTTTTAAAAAATATTTATTTATTGAGGGCGGCAGGTGGTGTGATGGTTGAGGGCTCTGTACTCCCACAAGATGCCCACTATTCAAGTCCTGGACCTGACGGCTTGCTTTCTCTCTCTCTCTTCACTCTGTCCCTCTCTGCTCAAATTTAAAATAAATAAATGAAGTTAAATAAAATAATTCTTTTAAAAATTTACTCATTATTATTATTTTTCAAGTTTGATGGGAGAAGGAGGGAGAGAAAGTGTCTAGAACTGTGGTCAACCACATGGGAGTCCAGCACCTTAACCACCATGCCACCTGCTGGCCCCTCGCTCATTCCTTTAACCCTGTGTGAACTACCTGACACCGATTCCAACACTTGAGCACCAAACCTTGTCTGCACTTTTTCAAAGATACTGGCCAAGCAATGCCTGTTTTCTTCTACATCAGCATGTTCACTGTTCCTTTCTATCATTCCTATCAGTACACCATGTTATTTCTTCTGTTTAAAAAGAATGAGCAGAAGGGCCAGCAGGTGGCGTGGTTCAGGTTGAGACCTGGTGGCTTGCTTTCTCACTTAACCTCTCTGTCTGTCCCTCTCTGGTCAAATTAAAATAAATAAATAAATAAAGTTTTTAAAAAATAATAATAATAAGGGAACCAGCAGGTAGAAGTTAAGGGAACTGGATCCCACATGGCAATTCCATGGTTTTAGTCTCAGATCCAGGGGCTTGAAAATCAGGTGTGCATGCCCAAACTGTAGAGAGGAGAATGGAGGAGAAGGGATTGGCATCCCCCTCAGAGGGTGATTTCTCACTCCCTTTCTCTCTCTCTCTCTCTCTCTCTCTCTCTCTCTCTCTCTCTCTCTCTGTCTTTCTCT